CAGACTATTGAAGAGGACTTGATTCAATTAAGACTAATTGAAGGTATGTCCAATGCGTCACACCAATATAAAATAGTGGAACAGTTACAAATAGGAAATATGTCTTTAAATGCTTGTATTGAATTTATGCAGCAACAAGAGCTAATACCGACATACCACCATTATAAAAATCAACCCACCGAATAAAGATTCGCTGATACATAAGCGGTAAACAAGATAAAAAAGTGTTCATATTGTGGACGTGAACACAAAATGAAAAAGGAAAAGTGTCCAGCATTTGGAAAAACTTGTAATAATTGTTTAAAAAAGAACCACTTTCAAGCAGTGTGTAAATTAAAAAAGAAAAATGTGGAAAGAGTTGAAGAAAATGACACCAACAGGGAAGTTTTTATGGTGAAAAATAAGACTTTTGAACAGAAGAAAAAAGACATTATAGTAAAGGTTAAAATTAATAACTGCAATTTAGATATGCAAATGGATACTGGGAGTGAAGTAACATTGATACCAAAACATTTTTGGGAACACATAGGTAAGCCACCTTTACGAAAAAGCAATTTACAACTCCGCCAGTTTGATGGATCCGTTATAAGAATATTAGGATACTTCGAAGGTTCATTGGAGTTAAAAGAAAAATTTGAAGTAATTCCTGTAATTGTTACAAGTTGCAAGAAAAACCATGGCCTTATTGGAAATGACATGCTTAACATGAATTCTACTAAGTTAATTAATGAAATAAAAATGGAAAAAACTGGAAAGTTAAAGAACTATGAAGCAAGTTTAAAAGTAAAAGAAAATGTTTCCCCCTCTTATTATGAGGCACGAAAATTACCAGTACATTTATTTCTGTTAGTAGTGACAAAACTACGTAAATTAGTAGAACAAGACCTTCTTGAACATGTTCCGCCTGGAGGTAGCAAGTGGGCATCACCGATTGTGGTTTTGAGGAAAACAGATGGTGATTTACGTATTTGTGGAGATTATAAAATAGGAGTAAATCACAAGATATGCTCGGATTCATATCCTATACCCAATGTTGAACTTGCATTACATGCATTGGCAGGGATGTCTGTTTTTTCAAAAATAGATTTAAAAACGGCATACCACCAAATACCAATCGATGAAAACTTCAAAGAAGTAACCACGATAAATACGCCAATAGGGTTACTAAGATGGAAGAGAATGCCATATGGAGTAAAAACAGCAAGCGCCATATTTCAAAGGGCCACTGAACAGGTTTTAGGAAAGATACAAAATATGGTTTGTTACCAAGACGACATATGCATAGGAGCTACTAATGAAAAGGAATTAAAAGAGAAAACTGAATTAGTCTTGAATAGATTAAGAAATGCGGGAATGACGATAAATGAGAAAAAATGCATAAGCAACTCCAACAAAATTTCTTTTTTAGGTTATTCCATTTCGAAAGAAGGTATATCACCAGACCAAGCCTTGATAGAAAAATTTTTAAAAGTAGCTACACCTACAAATAAAAAAGAATTGGAGTCTTTTTTGGGATTGGTAAATTTTTACAGGCAATACTTACCAAAATACACGGACTTGACAGAACCATTTGCAAATTTAAGAAAAAAGAATGTAGAATTTATCTGGTCAGGCGAACAGCAGAAGGCTTTTGAAACATTAAAAGAAATAATGTCAAAGAAACCTGTAATGAAAATTTTTGATCCAAAAAAGGACATAACACCCACTACAGATGCAAGTGAACATTCAATATCAGGAATATTATCACAAGTAGGACATCCGATAATGTATTTGTCGAGAAGGTTAACGAACACTGAATTTAATTACTCGAACATAGAGAAAGAAGCATTGGCTATTGTGTGGACAACTACCAGAGCCCGACAATTTTTAATTGGAAAAAAATTTTGACTAAGAAGTGATCATAGACCATTGGAGTTTATATTTAACCCAAGGAAAGAATTACCCAAAGTCACGACATCAAGGATTCTACGATGGGCGATAAGATTGATGGCATTTGACTTTGATATAGAGTATGTCAAAGGAAATTCAATTCCACATGTGGACGCACTATCAAGATTGAGATTTTACAAGGAGTCAAAAGACAAAACGGAGGAAGAATTTGAAGATTCGTTCCTACACTTGATAGAGACTGATGTTTTGTCTTTAGACAGAATGGCTGCGAAACGAGACATGATCCAGTGCTAAATAGGATACTATCAAATAATAAAAAAATTTGTGGGGAAATTGTTCTAGGGCGGAAAGACCTTATAAAGAAATGAGGCATAAATTAACAATAGAACATGGAGTAATATGCAATGGGGACCTGGTAGTTCCCCCAGAAACACAAAGAAAGCCACTAATAGAGAGTGTACATAATGATATACACTGTGGAGTATCAGCCACACAAAAAAGGATAAAACTAGAAGCTTGGTGGCCGGATTATTCAAGAGACGTTGAGGATTATGTAAAGAGGTGTAAGAAATGTAAAGAGTTAAGAAACTTTACACAAGCCAAGTTACATTCATGGCCCAAAGAAGTGGAGCCATGGAGTAGGGTCCATATGGATCATGCCTACGTAAATGGAGTGGGACTCTTATTAGTATTAGTGGACTCTTTTTCAGGTTGGCCTGAAATAATAAGGGTTGCAAACAAAATAAGTTCCACTATAAAGCAAATTCTAAGAGTCATATTCTCTAGAAATGGTGTACCAAAAACCTTGGTATCAGATAATGCACTGGAATTTTGTGAGGAAGAACTTAATGTATGGTTAGAGAAAATAGGGTGTAAACCATATAAAACTCCTCCATATCACCCTCAATCAAATGGAATAGCAGAAAGGATGGTTCAGACTGTAAAAAAGGGGCTGAAAGCATGCTCTCAGCAAAAAGAAAAAGTAGAAGTTTTTCTACCGAGGATGCTTTTAAGTTATCGGACCATACCACACGCGGGAAGACTCGAAAGCCCATCAGCTCTAATGGGGAGACAGATTAGAGCTCCGCTAACTATGTCATACTCTACAAGTGAAAAGATGTGGTATAAAAAGAGCAAGGATGCAGATACGGAAGGAGCAGAGTTTATAATGCAAAAAGGCCATAATACAGCCATAATAAATAGAGAGAATGGCGATAGTGTGTTGGCCCATGCTGACCAAATAAGGACCCAGGGTGAAGAGGAAGAACGAAATGACGAAGAGATGTCAGTTTCATCTGATAATGAGTTGGTAGAACAACCATTACACAAGGAAAAGTTAGAGGAAACAATGCAGGAGGAAGAAGGACAGAAGGACTCTGAAAATTCAGATGAAGACCAGAGTATGCAAGAGGACACATGTGACTACAGCCTAGACCGGGACAGATCGAGGTCTCCCAGGGAAAGAAATACGAGAGAGAGAAAGAGAGCAGAGTGAGGAAAATATCAGAAGAAGGAGTACAAGAGCTATGAGAGGGATAAAGCCCTTAAGGTTTAGGGAGATGTAGTGATACTAGAAAATTAGTATGCATAATTTGCATAAGCAGAACTGAACATTCAATATAAGTGGTTACTGAGAATAACCACGAGCAAGTACGAGTCTAGCAACTGATTAGCGCTAACCTCCACTTCACAACAATTACCATTACCATATGTAGTATAGATAAATATACCAAATATCTTCCAACTTACATCATCCAGCCATCTTCCTTAAGTAAGCATCAGTTTTGCTTTTTGCTAATTCTGAGTTCTGTTCTCAAAATTTTATTTTTTTCTTATTTCAGACTTGAGTTCAAAATATATATAAACCAGAAAATCTTGAGGTATTTCTAGAGGTCAACCCTTAAAAATCCAAATTACCTACATTGGTTTTTTACATTAAACCTGTTATCAATTATTTTAACCTGCTATCAATTATTTGATTATTTCACTTGTAAAATACCTTTAGTGATGGAAATTTTTGATCTGTCTCTAATTTCTGTGTTACTATTGATAGGGTTTTATCTGTTTGCATTTTGTTAAACATTATCACTCTGTATGTGACTTTATTTGTTGTACAAAAGGTTTATCCTGTCACTGAAGGTGACTTTGATCCCTGAACAATAGTGTGTTTGAATTTCATAGTTGTGTTGTCATATCCTGCTATGGCAACAGGAAACAACTTAACAATAAGAATACTGAAATAGAGAGGCATTGAAAAAGTGGGAAGGGAGGTAATATTAATAAAGCAGAGTGCTTAAGATTAAACTGATGTTAATAATATCTAAGCTTACTGTTTGTGGATTTAGAATGATTACTTCATTTATTAACTCTACAAAAAATGCACTGTCAGTCAATGAATACTTCATACAGCAGGAATCAACAAGATGGTAGATTCCAATTTCCTCCATTAATATTATTAAGAGAAAACCTAATTAAGGTTTTCTCTTCTTGAGCAAAGATGAAAGAACAACAAAAGAAGTGAACTAAAGAACAAATAAAATATACACATCCTTACCTGATCAGTAGGTTGGTGATGTCCTGGATAGAAAACACCTCCTCTCATGTTAGAAGAGATCTGAAGAAGTCCAAAGCTTAGAGTTGTAACTTCCTGAGCCAGTTGTGTGTCATAAAAAAAACTAAAGTTCCCAAGATTGATCAAAAGACTTGGAATAATGAATAAGAAGACTAGAAGTATCTTCACCAGAAAAAAATGAAAGAGAGAAGAAATCATGAAAGCCATAAAGAGACACACACCATGACCAAGAGTTCTTGACCATGAGGTTACCAGAAAATTACTGCATGTATCACTTCTATACGCACATTTCCTTCTCATAGTTTTCCTCTTTTGTCTTGTCTTTTTTGGTTTTTGTTCTCATTCAATTCTGAAAGAATTTAAGTACCCAATGAGTATTAGACTCTTAAACTCGAACAGAAATTATTTCCTTCCTTGAATTGAAATAGCTTATCTGTATATTAACAAATAATAATTGCACTGATTAAGGCAAATTACTTGATTTCTGTTGATTTTTGTGTTGCGAATTTCATTCACTCTTTATTTTATCATCTTTCAGAGAAGCCTTGGTGTTCTTCAAAAGACTCACTTTTTAGTGCCCTCAAGGAAAATCAGTTGGACAAAAAGACTCCAGGAAATTTTGAATGCAGAATATTCAATAGATGAGCTGAAAAATGTGTTCAAGAAAAGGATATTATATGCTAAATGTGAGGATCAAAAGTAAGTAAAATTATACTTAGAAGAATCATTTAAATGGATAATTCTTTTGTATCTGTCTGAAAAAATTTGTAAGAAATTATTTAATAGATTTGAGTTAACAAATGGATAGATTGAAAATTTGAAATAGGTCTGTATTTTTCTGTTTCAGATTTCACCTTTGAGCAGCTTTTTCTGTCCCATTGAGGAAAAAAAATTCTTATTTATATTACTGGTTCCATGGTATTTCATGAATACTTTTTAACCTGTATTTATATAACAATATATTCCTCATTTGTATCAATGGTCTATATTGATGAATAACAAAATGAAATAGAACTTTATGTTTTTAATATATTTCTTTTTTTATATAAACATTATGAAAAATATGGTACTTTTTAAAATTTTACTGTTATGGACAGAAAGTCTTCTTTTATGTGCCAGGTCTCTTCAGGATGTGATTGATCATGGCTCCCCACAACTTTCTCTCTTTTGTTGCTTATATATAACTTTTGATTCTTTAGCATTCCTTTTGTCCCTGTTCTGCTATCCATTCATGCAAGATTGTTAAATAGGTTACTCATTGTTTTCTCTTGCCTTCAATGTGTCCTGTAAGTGTTAAAATTCTCTAAGTAGTCTTTTCTGCATTATGTATCTTAGAACATTCAATTGTATCTTTATGATTTTGTATGTTTTTTTTAGTTCTTATTTTTCTTAAGACTTCCTTGTTGATCACATGTTCTATCCATAGTATTCTTAGCATTCATTAATAAAACCACATCTCTGTTACTTCAAGTCTCTTCTTCATCTGTGGAGGGATTGTCCAGCATTGACTACCATACAAGTGATTGATATTACATATATATATATATATATATATATATATATATATACCTGCTCGATTTTGATGTCCTCAATATCTAGCTCACACTTTAGACTGTCTTTTTTGCTGATAACCATCTATTACTTTCTTACAGTTAATAGTCCTTTCTTTTTGCTTTCTTTATTATCATGTCTAAGAGCTTTACCTTTATGAGTCTACCATTAAGATTATGTCTTCCAATAATAAATTATGGTAGTTCTTCTAAATTTCTTTGCATCATCTTGCTGCCTAAATTAAATAGTGATGAGAAAATACATTTTTATCTGAATCTTCTATTTTTGTATATACCCTGTTGAACTCATTTTCTATTCTCATGCAACTATTGTTTGTAACTTCTCTTGTAACTATTTATAGAGAACAATCACATTTCAACAAAGCATAGTATAAAAGTAACTGATCAGGTACAACAGTGTTGTACCTGATCAGTTACTTTTACATAATCTATAAAACATAGGTGTAGGTCTTTCTGCATTTATACTGCATGCTCTGATAGCATTCTGATCATAAAGATATTTCTTGCCCTAATGTCTTGAACAAAACTATACTGTTCTTACCCTATTTTTGGTCTAATTTAAGTTTAGTTATGTGGCATCACTATGGAGATAGTTCTATTGAGAACTATCAGTATTTTGCCAATGCCATATATTTCATTTATTAATTCAGTAATCTTATTGATCCCCAAATTATCTAAGGTTGACAGCATCTCTATTACAATCCCATCTGATTCTGTTGCTCATGAGAGAAACAAATCTCTTCATTTTAACCAGCTATTTCAGATTTTAATATGAATCTTTCCATGTTTCTCTCATGTATTGCAAGTGCCTCTGCTCTGTTATCCTGGAAGTATCTGATGTATTTGTTCTATCTCTGTAGTATTTTTCTTATATCTATAAAATCTAAAAATGGGGACAATCATTATGATTGCCCCCATTTTAGATTTTATATATATACTGATAAAGAAGATATTTTCTATCCTGATATTTCTTTTATCTTTTTATGTATGCTTTCTATGTCTATCTTTGTGCATTTGTTGAGTCATTCATTTTTTACTTGCTTGCATTTATTTATTGTCTTGTCTTTACAATCTATATTCTCTGCCTTCTTTTTTACATTAGTTCAAGGATTTCATTTGTCATGCATTTCTTTTTTGTTCTTGTCTCTCTTCCCTTGGGATGACCTCTTTCATTGATATCACTAGTACTTCCTTTAAGATGTTGCACTGTGACTAAGTTTTTATATTCTCTATATTTCAATATTAATTAAATTCTTTGCATTATCAGGTTCCGTCCTGACCGACACAAAATTCTTGGGCCTGAGCTAGCTGTTTCTCATTTCCTTCTGGCCAGGGGAGGCACTGTCAAATTTGAGAATGATGACAAATGGTACCATAAAGAGAAGAACAAAATTTTTCTTCCTCGACATAAAGTAAACGGTCTCTTTGTTGAGGCAATATGTGCAGATAACACAGAACTCATGTATGAAGGACTGGAAAATTTTGGTGAGTCCAATTTAACTTGTATTCACTTAAAGGGGGACAATTTTGTTAAATCTTGGGCTACGAGAAACAAACATAATTGGAAATTATAAGCATTTGACAAATTTAAGATTTATTAAACAAAACTAAATATTTTAATCAGTTGTGTTCAAGGAAGGTACATGCAACTGAAAAGGCTAAGTGTATCTTGTTCACTTTCTCAACATCTTATTTAAATTCTCAATGAATGTATGATATAGTAAATTGTAATTTTTATTTTCTCTACATATGGCTACATTAACAAAAACATAAACTTAGTCTGATCATGTACGTCATTAAGCAGTTGACTTTGAAATCTGTAAGAACCAATGTTCATTTGTTTCTTTGGATTATTTAATTATTTAACCAAGGTTTGTACATACTCCTCAAATTTCTTGCATAAGAAACTTTAGATAATATTGCTTTCAGAAAAATGGTGGAATGTCATTAGATATTTATATATAATTTAAAAGTATTTATTTTGCTACTAACTCTAAAGCCAGAAAAATGTAAATTTTCTCTAAAAATACATTGGTGGAGTGAAAAATATTTTAACTGTTTATTAAATATACTTCCATGGCATAAATTTGCCTGAAAAGTACATGGCTAATGTATTTTGATATAGAATTTCAGAATATGAAGTAAAAAAGCTTAATTTGAATATAGAGAAGTTTTACATAAAAGCATTTGTTGCAGAACTTTGTAGATCAAAGTGTAATGTTCTAGAATGTTTCAGCGATACAATTGAAGATGTCATAAAGCGGTATTAATTTCTAACAACAAAGTGGTCATGCCAGCTAAAGTCAAGGAGTCAAGAAAACAACAAAAGAATGAAATAATCAAGCAACATTCTGACTACAGGAATTGTGCTTAAAAATAAACCCTAAATATTTCTGATGAAATGCATACAGAAAATATCATTTATGTGCATTTTTAAATGTTTGCCAACTTAAAAAAAAATTGCACTTTTTTCTAATTTTATCAGTATTATCAATCTTTGTTTACTTGACAAAATCCAAAGAAGTAATGTAATCAATCCTTTAAAAAAAAATGAAATTTAAGATTCTTTTGAATAATGATATTTGAAAAGAATTATTGTTATAATTTAATATATTTATATTTTTAATTGATATATTTAATTTTAGCATTCAGCATTTATTTTGGTAAGAGATTTTCAAAATTTAGATTTAAAACTTATTGTATGTTATTATTTAACATATATGAAATGATTATCAGTTTAAATGGAACATGACTTTGATAATTTTACAGTAAATTTAAATAATTATCAGAAATTTAGTCAATTCTGATCAATTTATAAAAAAACTATCAAGTAAGTAAAAACTTTTGTGTAGCTTTCTCTATTTTTATCAGTTTAAAAATTCTAAAGGCAACCATTTGTAAGCATTTTCAACAAGATAAAACATACAGTCAAATAATTCTACCTATTGAGTGAGATCACCACCAGAGTAACGTCTACTACTATTTTTTGAAAAAAGTTCAGCAGTAATTAATAGATTTTTTTGTATTATCTGTGCAAAATATTAACGTTTATATAGTTACTATTAAGGGTGTAATTTCAGTTCTAAATTTCTTACTAGTATCATCATCTTTGTTGTTTTTAACACAAATAGCAAAAACGGGAGAATGCTTTAAGAAAAAAAGCATGGTTGACCTTAAAGAAATAATCTTTCATAAATCATATGTTCTTGGCATCAGTTTAAAATGACACCTTCTTCTTTTGTATATATTATGACTCTTTTATTTATTTGTATATTCTTGATTTCAGATAAAATTTTCTAATATATTTCACTTTTTGAAATTATAATTTTAATTTATTTAGATATATGGGAAAACATGTGTCAGTTAAAACTAACACCAGGAGGATATGGATTTGTGAATGGAACAAAAAGCACCCAAGGAACCTAAGGAATTATTCTTAGCCTAAATAGTTATGAATATAGACCAAAATCAAATTCAGAAGTCATATATTGAAAAACATTATACTAACAGAAATTTGTGAGAATTTGAATCCTCTGCACTGATTGTCACCCAAACACTCTGAAATGTTCGTGTTCAAGCTTCCGGTGTGAATCCCAAGCAGTACAGCATGCCATTTCCAAATCTCTGGCTGAGTGAATTGCATCATGGTGCTCTTTTTCTCACAGATGATGCCAAATGACCCTACTTTACTGTGCAGTCAACAAAATCAAAAACAATGTATATATGCAAAATTAAAAAATGGTGAACCCATCGCGCCCTATATATGTACATTTGACCAAAACTCCTCAAAGAATATATTCCACCAAAGCCCACGCTAGCTGTCAAAAATCAGATGTCACTGATTTTGATTCTTAATAGTTCACTGGCAAACAGATCTGGATGTTACATGAAGAACTCTACTCTGTTGCTAGAGATCTTAACAGAAAATGCTCCAATATGGTTAGTGTAGACATTGTTCACTGGAGTTTCAATAGAGGAAGCTTTATTAGTGGTGTGAAATAAACTAGAATTTAACCTAGTTCTAGGGTAATATGTACCAATAACCTAATGTAAACATTGATATGGAATCTGATATTCTTCAACAGGAGGAATGTATGGCCTGAGATCTCCATTGTCATAAGTTGCAAATATATATATATTTAATATACTTTGAAGCAATAGCCTCAAGAACAACACCATTGAGACCAATTACCTGGCTAAGATATATTGAAGGAAGATGTGCAGATCCTGCTAAATTTTATAAATTCTGTAAAACCCTCTCTACAATTCATTGTGGAGAAGAAACAAACTGGCTTTCCTGAATATGTTGATAACTGATATAGAATATGAGTTCAAACCATTTGTATATATACTTACTGAACAATATCAACTAATTCCCACTATCCATGCAGTATAAAGTAGGTACTGCTATTAAATTTTCAATACCTAAGTTTTAAAATTAAATTTTAAAAATGAAAAAGTATTCTTGAAGATTTCATTCTAGTTTTAATTGAAAGCTAAATGATTAAATTTATTATTTCCAGTAAGTAAAATATTCTGATCTATTTCAGATAGAAATTATATAGATTGGAATTTAAACAATTGCTCGATTTTTTTTTTTTTTTTTTTTTTTTTTTTAAAGATTTTTTTAAAAAATGGCCATTTTCTTAATTTTAAGAAATTTGTAAAACAAATTTATCAGGTTTAAAATTCTTTCAAAATTAAATTATAGATTTGTGACACATTATTTGAGTAAAATTAGAAAATTTAAAGTTAAATTAATCTGATTTGAAATAAATATTACTTATAGCATAAAAAACCAATATACAAATATTTCTTAATGATGGATCCCCTATTTCTTTGATCATTATTGATTTATCGAGAAGCTGTCAAGGTGATGACAGTTCTTATGGATGACCAGAAATTACATATTTATGAAATCTAAGTGGACACATTTTTTTTTTAGTTTTTAGCTACCTAGTAATTTTTACAAATTAACATATTTTCAGCAATTATTTAATATTTTATTGACTTTTAGTTAAGTTTTTAAGAAGCTTTATAAAATTTGCATTTCGTCTCAAGGTTCTTCAGTTTACTACCTTAAACAAAAAATTAATTAATTGAAGTATGACCCAAATACATAAAATAAAAATATTTAGTGAAATAGCAATTAAAACTTTTTTTGATATTTTGAAGGGATGATTTGCAAAGATGTTAATGATGAAACAGAACTCAATTAAAAGTGAAATAATTGCAGCATATCAGACAACACTTAAATCACATGACCTTTTTAAGGATTATGTCATGTATAGATTCCCATAGGTAGAAATTAGGAATGTTTTTTTCACTAAAAATTATTTTTTAAATTTTTTTAAAAATATTTGGGTGCAATCGACTGTTATGAGATTTTCAAATTTTGATTTGTAAATTTACTTTTCACTTAACGATATCACCAAATTGCATTCTTGAAAGCAATGAAGAATTTTAAACGATTTTTGAACTATTATATTATTATAATTAAAATTGAAAAAAAATGAAAAAATTTTATTTCTTCAGACAATAGTGTCCTTAATATAACTTATTTAAAAAGCAATTAAAAGCTTTTCTAATTAAATAATGTCATAGTTTTATTGCATTTTTTATTTTACTATTCAGAGCAGATTTTCAATGAAACGAGTAACTGTTTTACAAAAAAAATTGATGATTTCCTTTATCCAAAGAGTCCTGTTTTTAACTAATAAAAAAAATCCCCCTCTTAAAAATGTAATTTCTCGAAATTTCATGAAATTATGTAAGTGGATAAAAAAATATTTTTTACAAAGATTTTCTAAAAAGAAAATTTTCAAAAGTAATTTCATTCATTTCTGAATATGTCCTGAAAGTTTCATTAAAATCTGACATTTATTTGAATTTTGCGAGAATTTCCAAATCAATGGGTTTTTCACCGGAAAAAATGTAAAAAAAAAATTTTTGGTCTGCCGCTGACTTAAAAAAAAGAAAGATTTTTAACCAAAAATTACAATGTGCTACAAAGGAGTAAAAAATTTAAAAAAATAATAAAAAAATACTTTGGTCTTTCCTCTTAATAATAACATAAACATTTTGATGAGAAAACATTGTTTTTATTGAGTTTGGGGCCTTTTTTCATCATGCTATGCTGTTTTTTATGCGACCAAGTGGCGGTACCTAGTATAAAGTGATTATTCATCGCTTACTATACTTGGGCAGTAGTTAGATATTTTTCAGAAAACTAACTACTCAGCACACATCAACATCCATTGAGATGCACAAGTTTAGAGGAGATAAACAAAAAATATAGCAACATTAGTTACATTAGAATTAGATTGGAAAAAATTTCAAGATTCTATTGGTTGTAAAAACATTATTTAGAAACAACAACATTTTCTGCAATAGCCTCATCAATGTTTGACCTGCACAAAAGAAAATATAACCAAGAACATAGTGGACAAAGCTCTCTGCAGTTGTGGCAGAAAATATAACAATGAAACCAACTACATTGTAAAAAGAATGTTGAAGTGTTTTAATGTGTATACAAAATGTGGAGAGAGAAAAAGATCCTGGGGAAACTAAAATTAGCTACCATTAAGCACTCCAAAATCTGCATCTGAAGAAAATGAATCTGTGTATTTGGTTGGATTAAAAAGACATTGTGTAATACAAACTCCTTTTGCAAAATCAAACATTAAATTGAGACAAATGCAAGTGTACAGATTCAAGGTAGCAATGAATGAAAAGCGTCTGGAATTGACCAATCAGAAGGGTGTTTAATCAAGTCAGTGCCAGACCCACATGTTTTTGCAGATATTGGTACAATTTGATTGGGATGTCTTACTATAAACACTATATTCACATGACCTTGCACCTTTAGATTAAAGCTTACAATCCCTATAAAATTATCTTAATGAGATCTACTTTAATTCTTAGTTCATCAGTCAGAAAGATGCCAAGTTCTGGGATGATGGAATCATGAAGGTACCTTAAATGTAGCAAATGGTAGTAGAATAAAATAGGATATATGCCGTTGAATAATAAGTCTTTGTACAAATATCTAAATATTGTCTTTGAAATTCACTTAAAAATACAAACACTATGAAATTATGTGTATATATATATATATATATATATATATATATATATATATATATATATATAACCTGTAAACGATAGAATTTACAGATAAATTACAAAATCAAGAATGTCAGCTTATTTAAGCAGAAAATATCACACCAAAACTTTATGAAATGAAAAGGATAAAGAACAATACTTGAAAATAAGGATTGTGAAGGAATTAGCATGTATTCTATATTTAAAAAGTCACATTAAACCAAATAAAGAAATGAACCCTACAATTAAGTGCAACTTAGAAAAAAAAAACACAAGACAGGCAGATTCTGCTTTCTCATGTCACTATCTTTTTCTCTGAGAATTATGTGTTCAGTTCCTGGGCTAGGCAATTGAAGGTTGAAGATTGATATCATAGGAAGGTCAATTAAAAATGATTAACAGATTAATTATGATTAACAGAATAATGTATTATAATACATTATTCTGTTAATCATGTATTATAATACATTATTCTGTTAATCATAATTAATCTGTTAATCATTTTTAATGTATTTTGCTTGGAATCTTGTGATCAAAGAGAGAGCATCAAGACAACAATTTTGTATTGGTGTCCTCCCTTAGCTAAAGGCAAAATTTTTATTATTTTTACTGGAAGACCTAAGTAGATCCATTTTTATAGCACTACCTAAGGTACAAACGAATGTGAGTGCGCAGCAGAATTATACCTGAAATAGGACAATAACAGTACAGGGTCATTAAAGACAGTGGAACAAGGAATGCAGTATTTATGCTCAGAATGATACCAGAAAGAACAATAGATGCAGAAGTATGTGTGGTGGACTTCACCACATTAATTTAACTTTGATAAGAAACAGGACTCATGCAAGAAGAATAACAACAAGACATTGTTGTACATAAAATATATGTATATTAAACAACAAATTTACAAGTGACAAAGACATTAACATTTATGTTTGTGTGTGAATGTAAAGAGTTTGTATGTATATGTTCGTGTGCAGATAGGTTCGCACATATGTATACATTGTGCAAAAGCATTTAGTAAAGTACGTCCCCATGAACTGTTGGAACTGCTTATTAGTCCTGACATATTTGGGAAGGATATTAGAATAACACAGAACCTATATACTGGCAACAAAATAGAAAATGAATTAAATATATAAAAATAGAAAATGGGAATAAGATAAGTATGTGTCTTCTTACCAGACTAATACAGTAAGATGATTCTGAGAGAATTAGAAGTCCTACCAGGATTCATTATTGGTGGCCAGAATCTTAACAACATAAGACATACAGATGACACAATGTTGATAGCAGACACAGAAAGGAAACTACAAGAACTCTTACAGAAGGTAGTGAAGGAAAGCAAGAAGAAAGGACTAAACTACAATTGCAAGTAGATACAATGGATGGTTGTTAACAAAAGAAAGAACCCAACATGCAAATTACAAATTGGAGATACCAAAATCAAACAAGTAAAACAATTTAAATATCTGGGAAGTGTTTTAACAGAGGACAGAAAGTACAACACTGAAATCTGAAGGCATATTGAGATAGTGAAAGGTGCCTTCCAAAAGCTAAGAAAAGTATTAAGAAATACAAAAACTTTGTTAGAAAGAATGAAAAGAATATTGTGAGATAAGGTTTTGTTGTTGAACTGTATTCACCCTAGCATTGTGAGTTATTTTGCTGTTATTGGAAAATTATGCCCTGCATTTATTGAATGACAACAAATAAAATCATCATTTAGATAGGTGCATGCCACTGATTTTTCTATAAAACATTTATTTTATATCACTAGACCTTGCAGTCTTACAGGACTGGGAGTACTGAATAGTTCTTGTTTCAACCTATTTCCAAAAATATGACCAAATGACCAAACAGATTTGGATGGAGGGAAGGGTTCTTGGTCAGGCCAAGAACTTTTCTGTATCCCCTCATATATAATGAAGTGTTGCCTGTACATCAACATGATATACAAACAAAATTGTTCAGACATTTCAAGATCTTAATATATGCAAGTGAAAAACTTATTTCCAATAAAAGCGATAAAAAATATATTAAAATTTCATGAATTAACTGAATTATTTTGTACTTTTAATGTAACACACCTACAGAAACATACACACATACATATATAGAAAACTTCATTCATATATTTGATACATAAAGTAAAAATCAGTAATACATATTAAAATATATATTAAAATAGGGCTTAATTTTCTTGTCTTTTTGTTCAGTTGGCTTGAAAAGTGTGCGATATTTAAGTCTGAAGAACTGTGCTTATATTGATGATTTTTGTCTTGATCGATTGCACATCATGGCAGATACATTAGAGTTTCTGGATCTAAGTGGATGTACCAACATTACAGAAAGAGGACTTGCTACTTTACATAAACTGGGGTATGTGTCCATATTACTTTTTCAAATTGTTTTTATTCGTTTTTATTTCAACTTCCTAATACAGCATGAAGCATTCTTTGAGAAAGAATTTTCCATTTCTTAAAATTTTACTCATTTGAAATTGATAAAATTAAAGTTTAGTTAAAACTTGGGTTGAATGATGAAATGTGAAAATGTATTACAAAATGTGCCATAACTTTTCATTGGTACAAAAGTTTCAATAAAGTGTAAAAATTAAAATATAGCAACACTTTTTCACTCCCATTTTAGATGCATTTTGTGCAATTCAAAATTGTTTTTCTTCTATTATTCAGTATTTTATGAGAAGTTGCTCTATTTCACATTTCCTATATTTTATCTTTTCCTATTCTATAAAAAATGCATTTTTTTGGTTCTACTTTAATAAAATTTGAAGGCAATAAATTTTATGAAAGTTATTAAAGATGTTTATTTTAGCACAAAACTAGTTAATATTTAAGTATTGTTTTATAATGAAACACTCAAGCATATTTATTGCCATGCAAATGTTGAACTAATGCAAAAATGTTAGTGAATCTATTAATCAGCTGAGAGTGACAAATTTGTTTCCTGCTATTAGCAACTATTTTATCTACAAATCTAAGATCCCTCTAAGCAAACATTATTCTTTCTCTCAATAGTTTTTTTACTAACAAAAATAGGATTATACATAGATAGGTACTATCTGCCTAAGATCAGAGTATCTATATACTCTTCTTAGGATTAAAGTATAGTATCTGTGCACACCATGAAAAGTTTTGCAAACACACATTGCATTTTTTATATGCAAATTTTTTTAAAAGTAGATGTTATGAAATTTATTTTAAAATATCTTGCCATAGGAAAGAAATCCTTTTAAAACTTGATGTGTATAATTTTAAGATAGTTGATAAATGTAAACATATTTCTGATAAATGTATTTATTTTTAGGTGATTGATAATTTTTATTTGTTAACCATATATTGATTGCATGTAAATGGTATTTTTAAAAACATCTTCATCAGTTTTTTTTAATTGTCTAATAAGCAAATTTCTCCACTAAAATACAAACATCTGAATGCTTTCTATTTTTGTAACACTTAAGATAAATTCTTAAGTTGGCTTCTTTTTTTTTGTTTTGCAGTAAACTTGAGGCTCTCATTTTACGGGATATAAAAACTACACCAGCCATAGAATTAGTCACACTTATGCTGCAGGATGTCCTTCCAGAATGCCATGTCCTTCTTCCTACAGTGATGAAAGAAAAATCAACAGAGGTTATTGCAGCAACATAACAGCAATATAGTGTAGGCATATCAACGTAAGGAGAGACTATATTGGAGGGCAGGTCAGTATGCCACAGACAAAGTAGGATTAGATGCAAATCAAGGTGACATCATTAATGTCATTTAGGAAGATACATTTGGATTTGCAAATCTGATTGAATAATTACATCATCTTTTATCCTTGAAATCTCTAAGGTCAACTAAATATTTAGAACAAATCAGAAGGTGAAAATAGCAACATTGATGAGTTGGGATGTAGGTAATTATTTCATCAGTAAGAACTTTAAGAGCTTTTGGAAATTGACTTGAATATTTATTGTTTAGTTAAATACAAATTTAAATTTTGAAATTACTTTATATATACATTTAATAAAAAAAAGGTTTTGAACTTTGCACATGAAGTGAGTGCAAAGAATTTGTTTTATGAAAGTTTTTGTAATAAAAACTGCTGTTTTAATTTTTTATTTTCATTCATTTTTGTCTCAATATTGATACTAATCAATGCAAGTGAAAAATAAACATAAAAAGCTTTCTCCCATCTCAGATTGAATTTGTCATTTCATATAAGTTATATGAAATTTAATAATTTTGGTTAATATTAATGTTCAATTTTATTCTAAAATTAGAAATTTACTTTTGGGAAAGATAGTGTTGACATGAACTTATGATTTTATCTAATGCACTTTTTAACATTTCAAAGATTAAATTTTACAACAATTTTTATTAAGTTATGCAGCTAATAAATAATTAATTTTGTGTAAATATGGTCATAAAAATCATCCAAAGAATTTAAGGTGAATGGATTTTAACTTGAATAATAGCAACTTTTAACTTTATGCAAAGGTTTACAGCACTTTTTTTGATAAAATATTTTATTCATATAAATTTATAGCATCATTATTCATCTATCAAAGGTAAATTGTGTATTCCATTATAAAAGAAAAATTCCAGTCCTAATTAAATCTTGAATTATATTATATAAAATACTTCTTTCAATGATTGCAAGAACCAAAAGTTAGTAAAACAAAAAATGTCGAATGTATTATTCGATGAATTTAATGTTGAAAATAAATAATTTGTAACATCTTCATCATGGTCAGCCTGGGGTGAATCCTGGTTTGATCTCTTTGATCCTGACTTGTCCTACCCCAAAATGTGATTGATTGATTATAAGGAGGCCAAGATTGATTTGTTGCAGGTATCTTCGTGTTGGGCTGTTTCAAGTTGAGCAAAGTCATACAGTAAAATTGGAGAAAAAACTGCACTCGAAATATATAAAAAAAATATTTACTATTTCTATATCGAATACTGCATACAATGGTTTATTAGTAGTTGTTTGGGTCTAGGTGTTAGCATACAGGAGTTTGTCGACCCAACCCATTCCTAAATTGGGTACAACACTTGGGTGAGTTTTGGCTTGCAGAGTTAGTGAAATTTATTTTACTGATTTGGTAAGTTTGGCTCAAGGCTGAATTCGGAGGTTCTCATGATTGGCAGGAGTTGTGGAATCTCTCAGTGACCTCCGCCACTTCCCTTCTGTCGCTTCTGGGCTCTCAACTGTCTGAATTTGCTTTGCGCATTTGCATTTATGGACTCCAACTAGAAACTGATGCAGGGCAAGATGTAGGCTGGGTTTCGGTGAATCCCCTGATTTCTAACAAGAGCCCATTGTTGTCTGCCAAAACAAAACTGGTGTAGGGGTGAGATGTAGTTGGTGGGGGGGATTGGTATTTCATCTCCCTGTCATTTCCATTGTTTTTGGTCGTGAGAAATTAAATTACTTCATAATTTTGGGGAATTCCTTTTCTCTCATGGGAGATGGGTGCAGGCATCACTTCGCCTGGTTACTTCTACTTTCTCTTATTACCATCTCCCACCAGTGTGCTCCAATGGACAAGAACAGCTCCTTCAACCCCCTTAATGTCCCATCTGTGCCTGCTACCCTTCTCCTCCTTCCTTGATCACTCTTCTGCACCTCCACCATTTGGTCAAAGACTAATTAAAAAAGAATTATTGTTCTAAATGCTATCACAGTGGATTGACATAACAATTGGCTTTCTTGCCTTTGACCCAAGAGACCCTTTCCCAGGGAAATTTTTGCAACTCACATTATGGTGGCAATTCATTCGGCTGAAGATCAACATATCTGTAGGTGTTCAGCTTATTGTTTTCAATCCTGACATCTCTGCAAAAAAGATTTTATTTGTAACTGGCATTTAATCCAATTCCCTTCATGTCGATTTCACAGGTGTTGTTTGTTGAATACTGTCAACACTTGGCCTGTTGTACAAACCAAGCATTGCTCTCAGCCAGTCATCTGGTATATTTTATAAACCTTGATTCTCTGGGAATCAATTGTTATCAGTCTATCATTCTTAATATTCATTTAACCTTTTCCATGGTAGTTTATTCATCAATATCTCATTTTCGTTGATATTCCAGGTCTTTATTAATTACCAGCAACCCAGATAGTCTTTTATTTTTAATAAACCAAACAATCTTTTTAGGTGATGCAATAATCATAAATTTTGTGAATTTGAAAAATATCTACTTTCCTCATAATTATTTTTTTTTTTTCAGAATACATACATATTCTCAGAGAAGGTGTGGTAGGTCCCTAATCAATGATTTATATACCATAGTCTGTTAATTTATAGATAGAGTCCATAAGTAAAAAAGCTTTTCTATCAGTATTATCATTTGCCATTTAATTTCATGTTTTTCAAATTAGCCTACATAAACCTGATTTAATTCATTCAAGTAAAAATGTTTATGAAATGAATTGTTGACTAATTAATTATGCAGGTAACAAATGGAATTAAAAAAGAAACAAATGGTTTCAGTCAAAAATATACCAACTCAAATGGCCAGAATAGAATTGTTATTCTTAGCAGCAAATTTCATCTTTTTCTTCTGTTTTCAAAATAGATGAGTTCCTATGACTTGTTGAAGTTAAATAATAAAATTATATTATATGTCATAAAATTTAAATGTATTTTTTTTTTATTTGAGTGAATTTAATAAAGTAATTTGGTTTTTACTTTGGTAAAAATCCTTCATATCATAGATTAAAAATACTAAACGATGTTGAAATGTTCTCAACCTGATCAAGAAGCCCTTCCAAAAACAAAATAATCTGATATTTGGTCAGATTTTAGGAAGTGAGTTGAACCTTTTCAACACCCCCTTGAACATTTATGCTTATTAAGGATGGATGTAATGTCATAAACTGTATTCACCCTCAATAAATGCACATACACAAGGGTTGATGAAACATTCTTGGCCTGCCCAAGAAGAATGACCTACACCCATAAAACATCATCCCCATAGTTTGACACACTTGTCACATCATTCCTGAAGTTAATTTTTCCAAAAATTATTCTTATGTTTGGTCTTTGAAATACTGATTTTATGATGTGAGTTGAGCTGAGAACTTTTTAGCACTATCTCATGTGTGCGTGCATGCATGTGTGTTCCTTTATAATAAGAATCCAAATTGATTTTTCATTCACCTGAACAGAATTGAGTAAGTATTTCTCTGTTTTGTCATGGAGTAGTAGTTGCTGGATATAATACAAAATAGCCTGTAAATATATATTGATATTGTATTAGCTTATATTGTTCATGTGGATGTCTGTATTGAAATTATATAAAAACCAGGAATTAATTTCTAAAAAAAAGATTTTAACCAATATTGGTTATATGCTAAAACATTGATTTTTTTTAATAAGGAAAGTATTTTTAGATTTCTTTGCTGGTAACCATTATGTAATGTTCATTTGTATAAAATTCTATGCAGTATGAAATTTCAAAAAAATTATTTCAAGTAATTTGGATTGAAATATAAGGAAAATGTGTGATATGCTCTTTTTTTGCACTGACAATTTTTATTTTCCCACAAAACTAATTTTTTTCCAAGATATAAATTTAATTTTTAGATATTCTATATTAACTTTTGTAAATTACCAAGAAGCTGAAAACAATTCTTTGCTCTACAAAATCTTACTGTGACACTACTTAGCTATGGTAATTGATTAACTAATTAGCCATAAAAATTAAACAAGAAAATACTGAGAACGGAAAAGAAGATATCCTGAGATTTTATTTTTACTTTTAAAAAAAAAGTTACTTTTCTCAAGAAACCAGGGATTTGCGTCAATGATAAATTCACAGAAGGACAATATGGCAAGCTTTTGACAATTGATTAATGATGTTTATAAAAGTACTGGTTAAGAAAACACAAAATAACCAGAAAGCACCAATATCATTCAAAATTGTAAAGATTTTAGAAATTGGCCAAGCAACAAAGCCATGTGTTATTTATAAGAAGAAAAAAAGGAATTTCATAAACAAAGTTGATAATTCTGAACTCAGAATTCCTGAATAAACAGGAATGTCAAAGAGTTAATGAAACAAGCTTAGCCACACCCACACAACTGAGACGCCATTGGTGATAGGCAGAGGTAAATTGGTAAGAAAGATGGAGAAATTACCACTGAAAGGATTTGGTATGAGGTACCAATGTGAGAAGGAGGAAGTTTAGACGGATGGCTATCCTGCAACTTCTCACGGACAAAGGGATCCCCCCAAAAATGGAAAGTAATAAATTTTCCAAAATGGGAATTAATCAATTTTCCTAGTTGGACAACAAAGAGGTCCCTCGTCAGAAATCAGGAATTGCCAGGAACCCCAGGCTGCATCTAACCCCACACTGGTTTTTGGTTGATGTCCATATAAGCAAGCGCCCTTGGGCAGTTTGGCAGACAGAGAAAGTAGTTTTCAGTTTGCTAGCAGGAACCAGAGTTGCCTCGCAGAAGCTGGCTGAGAGATTCCACGACTTCTGCCTCTGACCTTTCCTTTCTACAAAACAGCAAGTTATACTGATGAATGAAGCTAAGCCACCTCCTGAAAACTAAACCAGTTGATTTAGACGACCAGAACTTTCCTAGAGGTATAATAGTGTCACTCTCAGAAGAAATGGGTTGGGAAAAACACATACTCCTGTATAG